GCCTGCCAGCCCGGCCCGCCTCGCAGCCTTCGGAAGCAGCAGCACACGGGCAGGGAAGCGCCGGTCCCTGCCGCCCGCCGGCTCCAGAGGGACGGTGCCTCGTCAGAGGGGCCCGCCCAGGGCGCGGGGCCCGAATCAGAGCATCTCCTGTGGGTGCCTCTGGCTCGCACCCCACCTGCCCTCTGTGAGCTGCCTCCCTCCCCCTGGGAGGGGAGGTCTCCCTCCTGCACAGCGTTGTCTGGAGGGTCCAGGCTTGAGGGTCACGCACAGAACTCTGGACCAGCTGCAAGGGCCTGGTGAGAGAAGCGGTTGGTTGAGCCTTGGCACACACCTGCTTTGGGCTTCGTTTTGCAACATGCTGAACTGCCGGAGCACGGTACCGGCACCTCACTGTCGCAAAGGCTGTACAAAAGCAGGACAAAAGGATGCACCGAACCCCAGTGAAGTTACAGGCTGCTTTGGGGGAAAATGGGCTGTGCGTGGATAAAGGGAGGCCTGTGAAAGAACCTCCGAGATGAAACATCCTTAAGCAGTGGAATAGGTGGGCATTTCGGCCTTAAGCAGTGGAATAGGTGGGCATTCATGGCCACCTCATGATTATTGTGGCTATTGTCAGCACCCTGGCAAAAGAAGGATTCGGAGGGATGGGGTAATGTTGTAATGTGAGCTGGGCATGCCTTCAGAGCAGAAAGAATAGCATGGAAAAGTGTTTCCTGTAACATAAAAGATCCGGGGAAGCCGGTATGTTTACTGATAGATGTGATTAGAGACAGTAGCAAGGTTAAAAGAACAGGACTGGTGATGAAGGGTCTTTAAAGTGAAGTTCTGTACTTTATGCTTGAAATGACAACAGATAGGGGTCCAAGGAAGAGATGCAAAGTATGGGATGACATGACTGCAACAGTGCTTATCTACACTGTTGCAGGAGCCTTTATGGGCTTCCCCCTGTGAAGACCTTTTGGGGTGCCTGTGAAGCACAGCATTTGATTGCATCAATCCACAAGTAGTGATGCTGTGAGAAAGAACATATTTCACCCCAAAGCAGTAGCAGCTTGGATTTTTGGTGGTGAAAGTCCTGGGTTCTGACTTTGCAGCTATGGCAACATAAGCTACAGCTGTGCTGCACATGGGATGCCAGGCCAGGGCAAAGGCTGGTGTACTCTGACCACTGCCTGGGGGCACACCTCAGGAGGTCCTGCTAAGAAGGAATCTTGCTGATACTGATTGTATTGGCTGCTGCAGATACCCAAATGTTTGATTCTTGGGTTGGGATTGTCAAGAACAAAATTTCTCACCCTGACATGCCCTGAATCTGCTTGTAGATCTTTGTGGTGGGCACCACCTCAGGGCCGAGGGGACTGCTTGGACCACAGAGGGAATTTGTGTTTTGGGTCTGGCTGTAGCCCTGTGAAGGGCTGAGGAGGACCTCTAAGTCTTGCCCAAACCTGCTGTGCAGAGAGAAGTTCAACACAGCTGGTGCAGGACCCAGCCCAGGGGGAAAGGTGCTCCTAAGCAGCATGCCTTCCAAGGAGCACCATCTTGTCTCTTTCCCAATGTCATGTCTTGCTGCAGCTCTAGGGGATGGATTGAGCACAGGCGCAGGCTTGAGTTGGCAGGCAGTCATTCAATAGACCACAGCTCTACTATAGGCTAGCCTTACCTGTGGGATTTATCCCCATCATCATTACACAGTCAGGGCGAGTTGTTTAATAGGTGGTATATAAGGCCCCATACATTGAAAGTATGCCGAGAACCTCCAGAGTCTCTAATACTATGGTCTTGGCAGAGATAGACTATCAAAAGCTGGAGGGCTGGGGCAAGATCTGATACTTAGCTGAATCACCTTAGTTTTTTCTCTGTTTTAGGTCAGACCTGGAATATTGAAGGTTGGGGATCTCTCTCTAATGATCCAGGCATGTGTGTAGAGATGCACTGAGGTTCACTACCAGGGTGCAGACATTGTTCCCTGTATAAATGCTGTGGACTAAATTCTGCCACCCTTTGAGGGGGTCTTGCCCTGAACATGAACTGTCAGATTAGGATCATCATCTCTGAGAGCAGAATGGTATCAACCAAATATTAAAGATTGCTGGAGACACCAGGACATTTGCTAACTAATAGTTTAGAAATAACCAGAGTGAAATAGCTGAGAG